GAGCTACAGTAGTTAAATCAATAACCGAGAGCTTTCTCCGACCGCCGCCGCCGACGCCGGCGATTATACTCACAGTTCTCAGACGAGAAACTCCGAGATTCTCCATGGATTTGAGGTGGGTTCTCACCAAACCCAATGTTTCTTCCACCGACGAAGTCTGCAAACGTGCATCCACGACGTACGGCGAGCCCATTTCTTTCAAGAAAGCAAGCAAGGGTTTGATGTAAGGTTGCGCCATTGGAGCTCTGTAAAAAGCTCCACCCCTCGAGTGAACCAAACAGTTGGAAGAAAAAGAAGCAGAGACTTTAATCTCTCTCTCCAAACCCCACCTAGTGAGACTGTGAGAGAATAGTGTATGTTCCTTACCGCCGGCAAAACCGAACCAACCATGTACTCTTCTTCTTCTTCATCTCTGTTGCATAAAACAGAGCGGCCGACAACGATTGAGGTAATATTAAAGATGCAAGTGAAGGGACTAATTTACCCCTTAAAATCTCACGTGCAAAGCACATGTTTTAATATTCCGGTTAAAATTGCCGGAAAATTGAGTTTAGGGGGCACCGTGCAATGAATTAATGAGTTCAGGTAAAAACGTGCAAATTTTTTTTGTTTGGGGGGTAAAGTGCAAATCGACCCTTAGTTTAGGGGGTAAACTGCTTTTTACTCTAATAAAAATGGCTTATCAGAGGTGGAAATGTAATTATCCAAAAATATTAGGGCTGATTTTATAATTACAGAAAAATGGGAGGAAAGAATGGGTGCATCAAGCAATTTAAAAATTGACAGGTGTATATTATAATAATAAAAGGGCATCAAGGGGTGGTAATGTAATTAGCCAAATTATCCCACCGAATCCTCCCAACCATTCCTGAGTTTGGCTCTTTCGGATTCAATCCCACATATCCGTATCCAACCAACCAAACCCGAGATACCATCCATATTTTACTAATCCATACAGTGTAATTTCAATATGAATCCCCAATCCCATCCCAACCCATCCCTCCAACCAAAAGGGGCCTAAGAGAGAGAATGAATGCTCATTAGAATGTACACATCGATTATATAATCTCTACATAGTGTACATATATTTTTGTCTGCTTTTTCCTCTTGAACTACTACCACTGTCTTAGGTTTCTACTTTCTAGTGCGTGTGTCTGTGTGTGTGTGTGTGAGTGAGAGAGAGAGAGAGAGAGAGAGAGAGACTGCCCAAAATTGAATGGAGAAGAAGAAAGAGAAGACGATGATGTCTTCAAGAAGACAATTGAAGGCCATGCTTCGCAAGAATTGGCTTCTCAAGATTCGCCACCCTTTCATCACCTGTGCTGAGGTCTCTGTTCTCTCTCTCTCTCACACACACACACACATACAATTGTACAGTGTTTGTATTTACACATATTGAGGATTGTGTATCTCAATTTGGGGCAAGAACTTCAGGATCAACAATTTTGATCTTACTGTTTCTTGTCAATTTTTTTGATAATTAATTAATTAATTAATTAACATTGATTAATGTTTAATTTTCTTGTGTGCCCACAAATAATTTCCCACAAAATTGATGTACATGTTATGTATGTATATTGTATCTAATGTCTGATAAAACTGCCAGCAGGTATATTCACCAGCTCTTGTTTAATTTTACTTCACAGTTCTTTCGAGTCTCGGGTTCTTAAAACAAATCGATTTCGTATTTAGTTTCCGAGAGCGTTTGAATTTTATATTTTCCATGTGTTCCTAGTTTGATGATTGGATTGATTAAAATTAAAATTTAGCCATGTTGTTTATTTACTAATTAGTTTCATTTTCAATGGGCAGATTTTGCTTCCAACCGTTGTCATGTTGTTGCTTATAGCTGTAAGAACGAAAGTCGACACACAACTACACCCCCCACAGCCGTAAGTATCCTATTCTCGATCCTATCGTATACGAAAAAAAACTTACTATTAGTTATTCGAACCTGCTATTGTTATTTTGCTTTTTTTTTTTTTTTTTTTTTTTAACTTAAATAAGTCGAATCATCACAAAAACGAGGCCAGTGCAGATATATTAGAAAGGACATGCTTGTGGATGTGGGAAAAGGCGAAAAGTCTCCGCCCTTCAACGAAATTTTGGAATTGTTACACGCAAAGGACGAGTATTTGGCATTTGCGCCAGATTCAAACGAGACGAGGATGATGATAAATGTACTTTCTGTAAAGTTTCCTCTGCTGAAGGTACGCTCAAATACTTGCGTTGAATCAACGAGTATAACTATTTTTGTAATACTTTCTTTAGTGTAACGAGTATTGTTGTAATGTATTTTCCAGCTGGCAGCGAAAGTTTACAAAGACGAGGAAGAGCTCGAGACGTACATACACTCAGATCTTTACGGTGCTTACGATAAAATGAAGTAAGTCGTGGTTTTCTTTCGTTTGCTTCTATATTTTCACAACATGATTTTGTTACACTTTATTCAAATTTTCTCTTTCGCTTGATGCTTGTAGGAATAGCACGAATCCGAAAATTAAAGGAGCTATTGTTTTTCATAGTCAAGGCCCTCAGTTGTTCGACTACAGCATACGCTTGAACCACACGTGGGCGTTTTCGGGATTTCCGAATGTTAAATCCATTATGGACACAAATGGTCCTTATCTCAACGACTTGGAATTAGGTGTCAACGTTATACCGATAATGCAGTACAGCTTCAGTGGATTCTTAACTGTACGGTCTCGAGAAATTATATTTTAAATTTATATTTATGAACTAAGAATCGGATAAATGTTTGTCGTTATCTATTTAATTTTACTTTTGCAGCTTCAACAAGTAATGGATTCATTCATTATATTTGCTGCACAACAACATATGACAACAACATCGTATTTGGACACAACTTCATTGTACACACAATTTGATATACCATGGAAAAAATTTAGCCCTTCAACCATAAGACTTGCCCCGTTTCCGACTCGTGAATACACAGACGATGAGTTCCAATCCATTGTCAAGAGAGTCATGGGAGTGCTGTATGTATACTTCTATATAAACCTTTTTTTTTAATTATTATTTTTTCTTATCGTCGTCCTGTTTTTTATATTAACAGGTACTTGCTGGGATTTCTCTTTCCAATCTCTCGATTAATTAGTTACTCTGTTTTCGAAAAGGTAGTGCATCAATTTTTGGGGTTCGGAATTAAATAACATAATTTCGGCATCACCTCTTTATACTAAGTACCGTTAGTTATCGATACGTTAGGAGCAGAAGATCAAGGAAGGTCTATACATGATGGGTCTCAAAGACAACATGTTCAATCTTTCATGGTTTATTACGTATTCGTTTCAGGTTCGTGTTTTGCTATCGCAGTTAAGTAAATTTAGTCCTATTACAATGCGTTTCAGGTTTATTACAATGCTTTTCTTTTTTGCTTTTGCAGTTTGCGATATCTTCGGGAATAATCACTCTTTGCACGATGGGATCACTTTTTAAGTACAGCGACAAGTCTTTGGTGTTTGTCTACTTCTTCAGTTTCGGACTTAGCTCAATAACGCTGTCTTTTTTAATCTCCACATTCTTCACACGCGCAAAAACGGCAGTTGCAGTTGGGACACTTGCTTTTCTCGCAGCTTTCTTCCCTTATTACACAGTTGACGACGAGACTGTCTCTATGTAAGTATTCATCCATGGTGAAAACTAGAAATGAACATATCATTTTTTTTTACTGTTTTTTTTACTGTATGATTGTAGGCTATTTAAGGTCATTGCATCTTTTATGTCACCCACGGCATTTGCTTTGGGGTCGATTAACTTTGCTGATTACGAACGCGCTCATGTTGGACTTCGGTGGAGCAACATCTGGCGGGTAGCTTTGCTTTTTTATTTATTTATTTATTTTTTTTATTTTTAAATTTATTATTTTATGCTTTTTATAAATTTTGTTCTTCCTTTCTTTAGCTTCGATTTTGATTCAAATTCGATGTTATTACAGGAATCTTCTGGGGTTTGCTTTCTGGTATGTCTTGTGATGATGTGGCTCGACACTTTCTTGTACGGTGCTGTTGGTCTATATTTAGATAAGGTATATCTTCTCTACTTATATTTGGCTGATCTTTTCTTTTCCTTTTTTCCTCCCAAAAACTAAAATTTTACGTAAACTTTTACCCATGTACTATGAGGATCAGGTCCTCCATAAGGAAAACGGGGTGCGCTACACTTGGAGTTCTATGTTTTTTAAGCACTTTTGGACGAGAAATAATCAAAGTGAACAGTTTTCTTCAAGTTCAAAGGCTACGTTAATTGATAGAAACTTTGAGGAAAACTCGAATCTATCTGAAAGAGATCCATATAAACCAGTGGTGGAAGCAATCAGTTTCGAAATGAAGCAACAAGAACTCGATGGGCGGTAATTAAATATATCAAAAAAAATAATGCCTAAGTTTGCATGCCGATGAACATATGTGAAAGATATAACTTTTTTTTTTAATTTATCTCCAGATGTATTCAGATAAGAAATTTGCACAAGGTTTATACTTCCAAGAAGGCAAACTGCTGTGCTGTCAATTCCTTACAGCTGTCCCTGTATGAGAATCAAATTCTCGCTCTTTTAGGTAGCCAACATTAGTTTTGCCTTTTGTTGACTTTCCAGTTCTATAATGGTTGACCTTAATTTTTACACTGTGCAGGACACAATGGAGCTGGTAAAAGCACTACTATATCCATGCTTGTCGGCCTTATTCGTCCGACTTCTGGAGATGCCTTAGTTTTTGGCAAGAACATCTTAATGGACATGGTAATAATTTTGTTTTAGTTTTACGTAAATACATATCAGTAGCTTACATATGCAATAAATATTAAATTGTATGTAAAAATTGGATGTTTAAGCTGCATCTCTTTGTCGGTTTTGCAGGATGAAATACGGCAAAGTCTCGGTGTCTGTCCCCAATACGACATTCTTTTTCCAGAATTGACTGTAAAATTTTCCGTCCAAACTTCCGAACTTTTCCTTTTCAATCTCGTGGAATTACTAATACCCGTTTCTTCTTTTTATCCATTCATGTGTTGACTAATGTTACTTCCTTGTATCAGGTGAAGGAGCATTTAGAAATATTCGCCAACATAAAGGGAGTGAAAGACGATTGCTTGGAGAATGTTGTAATTGAAATGGCCGAAGAAGTAAGTCGATATTCTTGATTGGGATAATTTTCAAATTTTTCGCTACATTTGTTTTCTGTCTTAATTTTTGAATTATTTCGAGATAATTTCTCGTGTAAAAATAGGTGGGTTTGGCAGATAAACTCAATACTCTTGTACGAGCTCTTTCCGGGGGTATGCGTAGGAAGTTATCCCTCGGTATTGCACTCATCGGAGACAGTAAGGTTTGTACAAGATTTTGTATACCTTCTAATTCTGACAATGGATCTAACTAAGGTTCTTACATAATAATACAAGGTTATTATCCTCGATGAACCGACAAGTGGAATGGATCCGTACTCGATGCGGTTAACATGGCAGTTAATAAAAAGAATAAAAAAGGGAAGGATAATACTGCTCACTACTCACTCCATGGATGAAGCTGATGCATTAGGAGATCGGATAGCTATCATGGCCAACGGTTCTCTCAAATGTTGTGGAAGGTTCGGTTCTTCTTCCCTCTTACATTTAAACATGTTTTTATGTCGAGGATTAAATAAATAATTTATACATCTAGCTAGATTTAACTTTTCGTACTTTTCGATACTGTCGCATAATTTATGATTTTGTCGACAGTTCCTTTTTCTTGAAGCAGCAGTATGGTGTTGGGTATACTCTTACCCTGGTTAAGGTGAGTACATCTCGTTCAGCTTATGATGTTAGAGAACTGAATTGATCTTTTTGATGCAATAAGTTTTCTTTTTTTGATTTCAGACAACACCGACTGCCTCCGCAGCAGGCGATATTGTGTACAGTCACATTCCATCAGCAACATGCGTGAGCGAAGTATTCTTCTGAAGTCATATGCTTTTATTGTATGTTTTCGATCTTTAGAAAATTCCTATTATTACTTAATCTTCTTGTGAAAAAAACAGGTTGGTAATGAAATTTCGTTCAAGCTCCCTCTTGCATCCTCGTCATCCTTCGAGAGTATGTTCCGAGAAATCGAGCGTTGTATGCAAAGATCGAATCCTAGCTTCGGTACTGCAGACTGCTCCGGCGATAGTAATTTTCCCGGCATCGAGAGCTACGGCATATCTGTCACAACCCTGGAGGAAGTATTTCTGAGAGTTGCCGGTGGTGATTTTGACGAAATTGAGAGCCCCGTTGACGATAATAACCCTCTAATAATTACACCCGATTCGGATGTCGACCAACCTAGCCAAAATAGAATCTGTTACTCGAAAGTTTGCAAACACTACTGTGAAGTTATCGGCTTTATATTCTCGACAATGGGGAAAGCTTGTAGTCTATTTTTGGCAGCTACACTACATGTCATAAAGTTTATCAGTATGCAGTGTTGTTGCTCTTGTATATTTTCGAGGTCGACTTTTTGGAAACACTCGAAAGCGTTGCTGATAAAGAGAGCGGTTTCAGCTAAGCGTGACCAAAAGACTCTTGTTTTTCAGTTACTAATTCCCGCCATTTTCTTGCTTTTGGGTCTTCTTTTGGTCAAAATTAAGCCACACCCTGACCAGCAATCGGTAACCTTTACGACCTCACATTTCAACCCTTTATTAACTGGTGGAGGTGGTGGCGGCCCGATTCCTTTCGATCTTTCCTTGCTCGTTGCTCAAGAAGTAAGAATATTTCTGGATTATGTATTTTCTTTTTTACGTGTAGAGAAATTTTTCGGGGTATGAAATGGTGTGGGTTTCATAGGTTTCGGAGCATGTGAATGGAGGATGGATTCAAAGATTTAGACAAACTGCGTATGAGTTTCCCGATTCGAGAAAGGCGATGGATGATGCTGTTGAAGCTGCAGGGCAAACTTTGGGCCCTGTTTTACTTTCGATGAGTGAATATCTCATGTCCAGTGATAACGAAACCTATCAGTCGAGGTATGTTATTGTTACTTCATATTCTTACCTTGTAATATATATATATATATATATATATATATATATATATATATATATATATATATTGAATAACTTATACTTGTCTGTGTAAAGGTACGGAGCAGTTGTTATGGATGAACAGAGTGAGGATGGAAGTCTAGGTTACACTGTTCTTCACAACGGCTCTTGCCAGCATGGCGCTCCGACGTTCATCAACTTGATAAACTCTGCTATACTCAGGCTTGCTACACTTGACGAGAATATGACAATTCAAACACGTAATCACCCCTTGCCTCTGGCAAAAAGTCAACTCCAACAACGTCATGTACGTTTAAAACTTATTTTAAGTGACCAAAATGTCAACTTTTTTGATGATTCTGTTTTCGACGTATTAACCGATTAATTCAACTTGAATATGAACGTCGTTTTTTTGAGTATGATGTGTAGGATCTGGATGCGTTTAAAGTTGCTGTTATTGTTACGATCGCCTTCTCTTTTATTCCTGCTTCATTTGCTGTGGCAATCGTGAAGGTAAAGTTTTCAAATTTTGGTAACTATATGTGTCATGTAATACTTATATGTTCGTCTTGATAATACAATTTTCGATGCAGGAGCGTGAAGTAAAAGCTAAGCATCAACAACTCATTAGTGGGGTATTTTTAATTTATTTTTTATTTTTAATTTTCGTAAAAGTTTTTAGCTTCTTTACTTGTTTCAAGATTCTTCCGACGTTGCACTCATCTTGATTTGTATATTTTATTCCACCATTTGATTCCCTATTCGTAGGTGTCCGTAATGTCGTATTGGGCTTCGACATATTTTTGGGACTTCATCAGTTTCTTAATACCTTCATCTTTTGCAATGTTTCTCTTCTTCGTATTTGGTATGTTCTTCGAGTATAACAAAAGTTCTCCTTGTGCCTAGTTGTCATATTCACAATTTAAATAGAGGGCAAATTACGGCCACCCCCTTTGGGTATGCTCAAATTACAAAAGAACCCCTCATGTTTGGGTAATTACAACCACCCCTTTTGGGTATGCTCAAATTACAAAAAAAACCCTCATGTTTGGGTAATTACAACCACCCCTCAACTATGTATGTCTTGCACGTCCACCCGTACGGTGTCAAATTTACCTACCAAAGGGGTTTGTTTTGTAAGACAATGCATAGTTGAGGGGGTGGTTGTAATTACCCAAACATGAGGGGTTTCTTTCGTAATTTGGGCTTACCTCGGGGGGTGCCGATAATTTGCCCTTTTAAATATATTTGAACTTAAGTTATCCACTAACTGCCTGAAGTTCATTTATTTTTGTCAGGCCTAGATCAATTCATTGGGAAAAACTCTTTGCTCTCGACTGTACTCATGTTCCTCGGATATGGATTATCGATAGCGTCATCTACTTATTGCCTCACATTTTTCTTTTCCGAACATAGCATGGCACAGGTATCCATCCCGATTTTTTTTTACTGTGTGAATTTCCGCGATTTTTCTTGTCTGAAATGCTGAAATTTATTGTATACGTATGCAGAATGTTGTCCTATTGGTCCATTTTTTCACTGGGCTCGTTCTTATGGTTATATCTTTCGTAATGGGGCTTATACAGTCAACAGCACATACCAATTCTCTTCTCAAGGTTCGATTTTTTTGTTCGTTTAAAACTTTGAATTTATTGTTCGATTCTTGTATTCATTCATCGAATAAGTGATACTATTTTTTTAATATTTTTTTTCCAGAATTTCTTCAGATTGTCGCCTGGATTTTGCTTCGCCGACGGTTTAGCTTCATTAGCTCTTTTGAGACAAGGGATGAAAAAGGGATCTGGAGATAGTGTTTTTGATTGGAACGTCACTGGTGCTTCTATATGTTATTTGGCTGCTGAGGTGCTCCTCTAATTTTTACGTAGAATTTCTTTCAAAGAGGAGTGGTAATAGCATTTTTTTCTTCTAATAATCAAATGAATTGTTTCGTAGATTCTGATAATTGCACGACTTTTCTAAACGGCCGACCTTTCCAAAATTAGAAAAATTAGAATTTCTTACATGTTTTACTATTTAACTTGTAATATAAATTTCAGATATTACATCCACAGTAACTTTTTTTTTCCTTACTTTGTGTAGGGCGTCGTTTATTTCGCCTTGACACTTGGTCTTGAAGTTCTACTGCCTCACAGAAACTTTTTTACGGCTTCTAATTTATGGACGAATTTTAAAAGAAAATTTTATTCACCTTCGAGTAGTGCTTTAGAACCGCTTCTCAAAGGTAATTCTGATCTCGAGGAGGACATTGACGTAAAAACGGAAAGAAATCGAGTACTATCAGATGGAGTTGGTAGCGCAATTATCTACCTGCGTAATTTACGAAAGGTAATCGAGCACATTAAAATTAATTCAATATTATATGGTTGTATTATAATTTAGTCATTTTTAATATTTTGTGTTTTTTCAGGTATTTCCGGGAGGGAAGCAGCATAGTCCAAAAGTTGCTGTTCATTCGTTGACTTTTTCGGTTCAAGAGGGAGAGTGTTTCGGCTTTTTGGGAACTAATGGAGCTGGAAAAACAACAACTCTGTCGATGCTCTCTGGTAAAACCATTGTGTATATATATATATATATATTTATATTATATTTCTGTTTTATAAGTTAATTGAAAAAAATTGTATTTTTCTGTCTAATTGTTGAGTACAGGAGAAGAACGGCCGAGCGATGGAACTGCGTATATTTTTGGTAAAGATATAAGATCGAACCCGAAGGCTGCCCATCAGCATGTATGGACTTATCTGAATTGAAATGTTAAATGCCGTTTCAATTTTAATAAATACCGTTTTGACTTCGAGCGAGATTTTGACCTTTTTGTAGTCTGATTTTGGCAAAATTCAAAACACGGAAACTGTGGTCCTTTGAGTTAGCTTTCGAATCCAACTTGAATCAGCTAGATTGGTTGTCTGATGACAAAGTTATGCATGAGTGATTTACATTTTGAATTTTAGATAACTCAAAAAATCAAACTTGTGGGCAGTGTTCATTGATTCGTGCATATCTTTCTCACCCGACATCCAATCTTGGTGATTCAAGTTGTATTAGAAAGCTAACTCGAAGAACTACAAATTCCGTGTTTTGAGTTTTTTCAAATTCAGACTCGAAAATGGTCAAAATTATGTTGGAAGTTGAAACGGTATATTATTAAACCGAAACGACATTTATCACATCCCTTATCTGAATGACACGTGGCTGATTATTTTATTAATATATGTTATGCCGATTAGATTGGATATTGTCCTCAATTTGATGCTCTTCTTGAATTCGTCACTGTTCGTGAACACCTTGAGCTCTACGCCAGAATAAAAGGGATCGAAGAGTATGACCTTGAACGTGTAAGAAAGCCTTCAACTTCTTTTCCTCATTATATAGTTTAAAACATGAAATTAATTTATTACATTATTATTATTATTGATGCAGGTTGTAATGGAAAAATTGGAGGAGTTCAACTTGTTGAAACATGCCGATAAGCCAGCTTATGCTTTAAGTGGTGGAAACAAACGTAAATTATCCGTCGCAATTGCTATGATTGCCGATCCTCCACTCGTCATTCTTGACGAGCCCTCTACTGGTGATAAATAAATAAATAAATTATCGCTTAACCAATAATTAGTGTTTAATTACATGATAATTATGTGTATTTTATTTATATTAACATCTTTATCTTTAATTTTTAAGGAATGGATCCGATTGCGAAAAGATTCATGTGGGAAGTTATATCACGCTTATCGACCCGACGAGGGAAGACAGCTGTCATTCTAACTACCCACAGCATGAATGAAGCTCAAGCCCTCTGCACTAGGATTGGCATAATGGTAAATGTTCTCGAGATTTTCCGATTTTCTTTAAATTATAAAAAATAGCGATAAATTTTATTCTCGTAAATCGTGATTACTTTTAGGTTGGTGGCAAGCTAAGATGCATTGGGAGCCCTCAGCATCTCAAAAATAGATTCGGCAATCATCTTGAGCTAGAGGTAATATTTTCCTATCTTTTTATTTCAATAAAAAAAAGGGCAAATTACGGCCACCCCCTGAGGTAATCCCAAATTAAGAAAAAACCCCTGTCGTTTGGGTAATTACAACCACCCCTCAACTATGTATTGTCTTAAGAAAAAACCCCTGGATAATTTTGACACCGTAAGGGTGGACGTGTAAGACAGTACATGGTCGAGGGGTGGTTGTAATTATCCAAACATGAGGGGTTTTTTTGTAATTTGAGCATATCTCAGGGGCTGGCCGTAATTTGCCCGATTTTTTTTTTCTTTTTGAAATGTTTCATGTTTATAATTTAAATTTTATTCTTTTTCTAAAGGTGAAACCTAGTGAAGTAAGCCGTTCGGATTTGGATGCAATGTGCCAAACAGTTCAGGAAAAGTTCTTCGACGTTCCTTGTCATCCACGAAGTATACTAAACGACCTCGAAATTTGCATCGGGGGTATCGAAGGTAATTTAGGCGAAACAGCTGCAGAAATCAGCTTGTCGAACGAGATGGTTTTAACTATTGGAAGGTGGCTTGGCAATGGAGAAAGAGTGGAGGCTCTCGTATCTGGCGATAGTGATTCTTGTGGTGTCTTGGATGAACAGTTGTCGGAGCTGTTACTTCGTGACGGTATTGTAATTAATTTCTTATTTATTTTGTTAAAATTGATAATTTGTATTTATTTGTTTTTAATATACCTTAATTGTTATTTTGTTAGGTGGTATACAATTGCCGGTATTTTCGGAGTGGTGGTTAACCAAAGAAAAGTTTGCGGTAATTGATTCGTTCATTCAATCATCGTTCCCCGGTTCGACTTATCAAAGTTGTGATGGCTTGAGTGTTAAATACCAGGTAATTATATTTTTATTAAATTTTTTTTTTAATATTCATGGAACTATGTTATGTATCCCCTTTTTTCGGTTCTGGGAAACTGATTATTTAATTTACGAGGGCAGCTGCCGTACCATGAAGACCTTTCTCTTGCTGATGTTTTCGGACACATGGAGAGGAACAGGTAAAAACGGTTTTTTTCTTCTAATTTTATATATATATTTTTTTTTATTTTCTCGGAATATTCTAAGAAATATAACAATCTTGGTGCAGAAATGAACTTGGAATATCAGAGTATAGCATCAGCCAATCGACACTCGAAACTATATTCAACCATTTCGCAACGAATTCTTAATTTTTTTTTTCTTGTTCTTTTCTGGGGGTGTATATTCTCACGCAGTTGAAGTGTATTGTATGTAAAAATTAGAAGAAAAAAAATATATAAAGATATATAAAATGATCTGAGCTCGATAGGCTAGGCTCGGCTCGACTTGAGCTCAAGCTCATCAAATGAAATTAGCTCGATGAGATTAAGCTCGAGCTCATAAAATTTGACTCGAGTTCGAGCTCGAACTCGAAAAATTTGACGAGCTCGGCTTATATGCACACCTACTTACAAAATATATTTCTACCAATTGTTGCATTTAACTTTTACAAAATATGAGATATTAATATATAATATATTTTGCTTTGTACATTGCAAATGTAAATTAAGTTGGCAAATTATTTTCTTACATAAAAGATTTCCATTAAAACTTATTTACAATTCAAGACAAGCTAAATTAGGAACCGTCTCTTCACAGCTCCTTATACAACATTCTTGCATGTTACATATCTACGTAAAATTCCCTTTTTACCCCCAAAAATTTCATAAACTCTAATTTAGGCCCAAAAGATCATTTATTTTTGCATATTGTTTAATTACCCTAACACCCTCCTCTAATCTCAACTCTCTTTCTTTTCTTCTCAATTTCACCCTCAACTTCCAATCTCACACCAAAAAGCTTTGGCCCCTCATTGTTTTCCTCTTCTTTTTGCTCTTCTTTCTTCCCACACTTGCCTCCATAGATAGCTACTAAATCAAGAAGTTCCTTGCATTTTTTCTTCATAATCGCTAGTTCGGAATTCAGAATCCCGTTTTCTTGCTTGAGTTTTTTGTTCTCATCGATTAGGGTAGTGAATTCCGACGAAGAAGAGGTTGATGAAGACCTTTGGTCTTCGTTTTCCGACGATTGATCTTTTGGCGGTGGTGGTGGTGGTGATGCTTGGTGGACTTGTACTTTAGGCTGCGACTTGTTGGACCATGCTTTCCTCCGACGGATCTCGCATAGTTGATCTCTTTCACCCTTACGGAACATGTCGTTGCTGAATTCCCACCGATTTGTTGCTATTTTACGAAAACCCTACACGTAATTGTTAGATAGAAAATAGTTAGCAGTTTGTATCAGATACTCTATTTTTGACATACAATACGAGATAAGCAATAAATTAACTTTAGTATATATGGGAAATGAAATTTAGTATAAAAGAATAAATTCATCAAGCAAAATTAATAAATAGTTTCTGAAATTGAAATTAGTTCATATGGTAATATTAAAATCTTATAATATAATCACACTAAGGCATTGTTTGATTGGTCCGAATGATCTCTGAATGGCAGCAATTCCTGATTCGGTCAGCGTTTCTTGTGTTCAGCATCTGAATTAAATGGTTAAGTGCTTAATGATTCAGTTTAAAACATATATCTTATTCAATCAGAGGTCGAGCTGAATGGCTATTTGACTAATTTATCCCATAAAACAATTCACGCCACTATGCTCTCTTGCAATTTCCTACTATTTTCCATTTTAAATATACTATTATTTAATTCTTTGTGTTGGTTTTGTTGGAGTTTACCACTTCTATTTTGCCATCTATAGTAAAAAAACTTTAGGATTAAATTTATTTTATGCTTATTTACCACTTTTTGTCTAACATTTCTAGTGAAAGAATTAGAGTTAAATCTATTTATTCGTATTTACTTTTATTCAATTAATATCATTTAATTTATTAGGTCTATAATTACAAATATGTTTTTAAGGTTATGGTTACGATTATGTTTTTGTTTAAATATTATTCGTAATTTTGTTTATTAATGCATATGTTCAAAAAATTTGAAGGTTAATATAGTAAAATTATACGATTCAGACGTAATAAAATTTTAGTTACCAAACGATTTAAATGTTTAGTATTCAGCATTCAAGTACCCCTCTTAACCATTCAAATATCGATTCAACATTCAGTATTAAGCACTTAATACTATCAAACATAGCCTAAGTAAAAGTCGAAAAAATCCCCAAATTAGTAGGGCTTTTCAAATTACGAACAAAAGCCCAATTAAACCCAAATCGGAAGAACGAATCGGAATAAAAATGGTAAGAGCGAACGTGTCTCTTCTGAGAAGCGCCGGCGCCGGAATAAGCACCACTCTCGCCGAGATTCTTGTCTGCCCACTCTCCAAACAGCCCTTACGTCTTTGCGAGAAAACCAATTCGCTGATCAGCGATTCCATCGGCGTTTCGTTTCCGATTGTCGATGGAATTCCTCGCCTTGCGCCGGCCGACGGAACGATACTCGATGCGGACGATAACTCCGATTCCGGCGGTGTAGAAGATTCGCAGGATAAGGATTCAAGTGAGAAGAAGTAAGCATCTTTCATATTTCTATTTTTCACCCTATAATTTGCAGAAATGGTGTTTTTCACCCTATATTTACGATTAATTCAATCGTGATGGTGAACTTTTGCTCGATTGTTATGCTTATTCTATGTTAAATCCATCTATTTTTCTGATGTTATTGGCCCTTTAGGATTAAAACTAATTACATAGTTGATTTATTATATATGTGTGTAAGAGTGTAAACGAATCGAGTCGCCTTATTGTTACCATGCTTCAAAGTTGTGTTCTGAGCTTGGTTTGATTAGCAATCGAGTCGAACTCGAACGAGCTTTAATCGAGCTCGAATAACTTGATTTTTGTTACATATTTAATTATTTTTATTTGATGGAGCTTCATAGCTTATCGAACGAAAATATGTCCTCAAACTCGGTTCATTATGTTAACAAACCGAGCTCGAACAAACCTTTAACAAACTATCTCGAATCGAGTAGTCTGGTTTGATTTTCGGAATTGCGTGTGCAGTCATGCAAAGCTAGTGATAAGTATGTGCTTTGTGGTGGTGATCTATTATCATCTAATCATATAGAGTATTAAAAGAAAACAAGAATTTAAGAAAATCTAGAGAGAGAGAAAGAGAGATACATACATAAGTGTTGAGTTGCCGAACAAAGCTGGAGAAATTGCTGTGTTTAAAGAGTGTGGGGAGTAAGTCCCTCGAGAACTCCGCCGGTTGCCACACCACAAAGGCGGTGCCGCCTTCGTTCCAAGATATAACCTCGTCGGTCGCCGGATCCTCCACCAGCATATATGTCTTCATCAAGAAAGGAGGCGGCGGCAAACCCTTCCTCACATATTCCTCCACCAACAACCCCTTTTCACTCTGATCACTCTCCATTATAGAAACTTCTTTCTTCTTTTTTGTTATGTTATATATATATGTATGTATATGTGTATTTATATATATTTGGATTGGAAGAGGGAGAAAGAGGTTTTAGGAGGAGGAGGAGAGGTGGCGGAGGTGGTGGTAGGGGGTGGTGGAGAAGAGAAGAAGGGCGGTTAGAAACTCCCAACCCCAGCAATAAAAGCCCAACACGACTGATCCACAGTTCATGGGAAATGCAAGGAGCTTTTCTTCTGGCCCCTTCTCACAAACCAACCAAATATTGCTTTGTACGTATCCTCTATATATATACATACATACATTGTATCTATCTCTCTATATGTGTGTGTGTGTATGTGTGTGTGTGAAGTGTAAACGCACATAGGATTTGTGTGTATTGACTTATTGGGATAGAGACACCATGCACCTTCCACATCTTTTCTTTATGTGCTATTTATTATTTTCAATTGGTTGAGTTTTTCTTTCTTGTAGATGACATTTTTTTTCTGCCATATGAATTTTTCAACCTTGGAGTGGGTGAAAATTTGGGCATTTTATTCAAATGTTACCCCACATTTCTAATGTGAATTACCATTGTAGATCAATAATATTAGATATTGGTTCAATTTAATTAAAACGGGTAAAGACCGAGTATTAGTATTGAACGTGTCGTGTTTTCATTGACATTGTAAATTCATTCATCATCCCTTGTATAGTAGTTTGCAAATCGTTCGAGAGATGCAAATCAGACTGGGTTAACAATATACGACGAGCTTGATTTAAAACGGTGTCGGACTCTCTTGTTTACCTTGTCAAAAATGCAATGATGTTTCTAGAAGGTTTTTTGTAATAGTATATCTTGAATTTGTTGATTATCGAACGTAACATAGATTGTCCAAGTCCATATGAATGATCGATGTATGTATTCTAGAACAATCAAAATACACAATTTATGACGTGGGACCTATCTCCGATCTCTTCAACTTATGAAACGACGGGTGGCACCAGCTCGGACTGTTCTAGAACAATCAAATATCTTTATTTTGGACATTTAATTTACCTCAATCGGATATTAAAACCTAATTGTAGAATTTGAAACTTGAGGGATGAATTCGCAATTTTCTAAATTATCAAAACAAGGACTCATTCGTCTACAAAAAAAAATAGTGGACTAATTAAATATGTGACAAGTGTAATTATTTAATTAATTATATATTGTTTGTTAAATCAAATAAAGGTTTGATGTGCTGATTAATTACCAAATTATATTCTATAAATGTAGCGTGCCAATTGGTTTAATGAATTTATAATTTATGTCACAGTTGTGTTTTGAATGTTAGTTCCACCATAATCTTTATGACAACTTTAGAATTTTCTTTTTCTACATAGTGACTTTTGTTGACTTTTGTTGTATGAGTTATTTTCTTGCCTGAAATTTATCTGCGTCACTAATAAGACTACACATTTTCAATCAAATATTTTATCAAGAAAAATAAATAAATAGCCGTATTTTTTCATTAATGTAATAATGAATTAAGCTCTTAAGAATGTTTTTTTTTTATTGTAAATAAGAAATTACTCGATACTAAATTCAAAATCGATTGTTAAAAGCTGGTTTGAGTTCAGTTCATTAGCATAACGAATCAAATTTAAATATATATTTTCATTCGATATATAAGCTATGAAGTTTGGCACGAGCTCGATTAGAAGAAAATAATTTAAAAAAAAATGAGTTTGATTAGTAGGTGTTTGGTTCAATTACTTATCAAATCAAACTGAAACATAATTTTTAAAACTCAATAAAAATTCAAACAACTGTGCATTTATAATTAATTGAAACTTGTAGGAAAAAGTTATCAATAGTTGTTGGGATAAGTCTTCTTTGTCATACTCATAAATATTAAAGGGTTAATATTTCCTATATATACTTTCCACATATATAATTACAAAAGGTTATCAATAATTTTTGTTCTTTTTATTTTTTATTTTTTTTTATTTTATAACAAACAACCGCGACCCTATACTGTAATTGATAAACTTTAATCTCTCGCGCAATAGCATGTAAACCTCATGAGATTAAAAGTAAACTTCAATATTAAGCAATAGTTCGTAAACAACATGAGAATTGTAAAAATGGAAATGTATGAAAATGCATAAATAATAAAAAAAATAATTAATTTAATCAATTTGTGACGATATGAAATGGAATAATAGGAAAAAGAATAATGGGCTATAAGCTAGAACAACAAATAAAGCCATAATCATTTATTAGAGAAGATGGGCCCTAAAAGCCCTAAAATTTATTTATTTTTTTAAATATTAAATATAATAAACTAGAAATCGACCTTCTCTCTTTATTTTCTGTTGCTATATATATATACTTAACCTTTTGGAACTAATTATGGTTTATTTTTTGTTGCTATATATTTAGCCTTTTGGAATTAGGGTTTATTTTATTCTGCCAAAATGGAGTTTGTGGTGATTGGTTTGGGTGCACTAGGTTTAGGTTTGCTTTTAGATAGCTTAACAGGAGGAGATTCTACGAAGCCACGAAACCCCTTTCCAAGAATTAAGGAGCAAAATTCCGTCGCGGATAACGACGACGACGAGGGTTCGTATATATTTTGCAAATTTATTTCTTAGTTAAACTTTTTTTTTTGGGTTTTTACATTAACCGTTTATGTTTTTTACGATTCGGTTCGGTAGGATTGATGGTGGAAACAAGAGATGCATCGCCTGCACATTTTGCGACCAAACTTAATTCTTTCTCCCTACTTTCTAAATACGGCATTCATAAATACGAAAGCAGGAAATTCGTAGCTGGAGATTATAATTGGTAATGTTTATATATATGTGTCACATTTTTTTATTTTTTTGAATATATAGAGTAAAATCTAGTTGCACTTGGACAGGAGACTAATAATTTACCCCGACGGTAAAGAAAACGGTGACCGTGACCATATCTCTGTGTACCTGGCTATGACTGAAACCAGTTCTTTGCCTCAAGACTGGGAGTTTAATGTCACATTCACTATCTTTTTGTATAACCAGATCTTAGACAAATATGCTTGCTTTCGAGGTACAGTAGAACCTCGATAAATTAATACAGTAATTTATTTCGGCTACGACTAGGTGTAAACATACTAAACTTTTAGTTCGATAATTTAATATTTCGCTAAATTAATAGGATTTTGCTAGTCCCTACTCTATTAATTTATAGAGGTTTAACTGTATGTATTTAGTTTTGTATCTTCAAGAACAAGTTTATATATATATATATATATTATTTATAGTATTTATATATATTTATAATTAACAAGTCTTGTTAATTCTCTAGTTAACGAGCGGTGTTTTAATGGAACAACGTCCAAATGGGGATTTTCGAAACTGATCTCCAAGAAAGCATTGACTGATCAGTCAAGTGGATACCTTGTTGAGGACAACATTGTGCTTGGTGCTGAAGTTCTAGTCATCAAACGACATCGAGTCATTGAGACCGTCAATCTCCTCAAACCCACCGAAGTTCCGCAAACACGCGATTGGAAGATTCAAGAATTTTCTATATTGGAAGAAGATGGTGTTTGGATTTCTGAAGAATTTACCCTAGCAAATTTTAATTGGTATTTCTTTCTCTTCTTTCTTATGTCCAATTTCTATTCTAGATAATTTATCAATTATTACTACTTAATTTAAATTTATAAACCCAGGAAACTGAAGCTATATCCAAATCGAGATTCCGATTCAAAAGGTCGTGAATTGTTAATGGAGTTGGTGTGTGTTAGTGCAAATAGCTTCGATGACTATCAAAAAATAAAGGCGGAGTTTTGCATACGCCTAAACGGAAGACCCGGTTTTGTTCAAAGCTCTCGAAAACGTAAATTTCTTTTAACTAAGAATTATTAATTACATTTTATGTTTACATTACTAAGCATGCATGCATTGTGTAAGTTTCTATCTTAAGGCAAAGTTAAAATCTTACCATCAATTTTGTAATTTTGAAATTAGGTAATTCCTTTTTAGTTCAATGAGTTTCTTTTATAATAAATTTGGTATATTCATTCTTAAATATGTCTAGATGTACTATTTGGCTCACGAAAATTTCCGGTGTTGCAGTTTCTCATTGGTTTACATCTTCGGATAAGTCTTGCGTAGAGAGGGCATCCGTAAATTTTGCTACAATTCGTAATTGGAAAGGTCTCCTTATTGATGATTGTTGCAGTCTACAATTGGAAATTTTGGTACAACTTATTGTTTAGTATATATTAATAGTATGTTTCTTGGGATATTATTATGTTTCTTATTTTCAACTTTGATCCTTGGATATTTTGGTTAGAGTTTATGCAATTTGGATGTATATACTCTATACTCTATATTATATGCATGTCTGTTACTTTACATTATGAAAGTTTTAGATTATTAGTTTTTAATTCATTATAGTCATTATTAGTTTTTAAAGGATTTAAGGTATAATGAATTTTGTATAGGTGGGTTTTGAGCCTAAGAAAAAACAACATTTTTTTTGAGTCGTATGGTCATTCTATGTTGTGATTGTTTAATATATGATAGCCATAAAAATGTCTTAGCAAATTATTTATTTTTAAATTGTTTTATTCCATGTATGAAACTCCATTGGGTTAGAGCAATAGCCCAGCATACATAACTTTGTCGTCTATAATTAATTTAGCCCATTTAAAATAGATTAGAAAGAGTTAGACTAGAAAAACTAAACAAATTTAGCTGATTCAAATTAGAGTAAAAAGTTAAACTAAAAATGGCTCAAAATTAGAGAAGGCAAAATAAAAAACGGTATTCGCAGAATGAAACAATATTTAACATTTCAGCACTATTAATTATTAATTGATTCCAGTTCAACTATATTTGCATATCAAATATTAGAGACATTATATATTAATTAAACTATAAAACTTTAACCACAATATTATTAAAAATTAAAGGCGAGATAACAGTAATAATACTCTGCATGGTAGTAGATAATCTCCTATAAAATCATAGAGAATACTAGGGTCTTGGCTTCAAGAAGTGGGATCCAGCAGCAGTAGAGTTGGTCGCAGGAGCGGCAGCGAAAATGGTCGGCGGAAAGGACCAGGGGCAGCAGAGTTGGTTGTCGGAGCGGCAACATATTTGGTCGCCGGAGAAGGTGCAGCGGAAGCAGAGTTGGTCGCCGGAGCACCAACAGAAATGGTCGCCGGAGAAGGTCTAGCCACTGCCGATGTAGAAGTAATCCTCCTCAGCCTAACTCTATTGACATAAAACATAGCCAACAGACTTAAGCCCATGGTTATCCAGTTCCTTCTTATGAAGTCCCATGTTCTTCGGAAGCCATTATTTTCCCAGCACCACTCCCAAAGAGCTGTCACTCCAATTGTGACTCCAGCATATTGCACAATTGTTTCACAAACTGATATTCCCCTCGGCGGCCTGGGCCCCTCTCTCATGATGGGAATCACAAACACCATCGGTCGCCGGTTTACTCCCTCCGAATTAGTTCCTGCACTTACTCCCTCTGAACTAGCTCCGGCGCCGCCTGTGATTCTTCTCATTTGATTTGGTAACCACGCCTTGAACATACTCGTCAAATGCACCATAAATTCGACAACGTCTTTCACTCCCTTAAACAACTCCCACGACTGCTGCACCCACGACATAGATCTGCAACCAAAGAAATTACACACATTAATTAATACAAATCACAGATTCTGCACACATTAAACAACCCAACAAATACCCTCAAATCTTCAACTCTAGAATGGCAGCTGAGAAAACCAAAGAGAAAAGAGAAATGTCGAGAAATTATTGATTAAGAGAGAGAGAAGGCAAAATATTGATCTCAAATCTTCAACTCTAGAATGGCAGCTGAGAAAACCAAAGAGAAAAGAGAAATGTCGAGAAATTATTGATTAAGAGAGAGAGAAGGCAAAATATTGATCTGTGAACTGTAACCACTAACCACACACACAGTTCGCCCAAATTGCATAAGAAAAAATGCAGAAATTAAAAACAAAATCTACTTATTTCACCAGGAAAGTGCACACACACACACAACATGAAAGGATTTTCTAAGTACCTTGGAAAAGAGAGAAACCCAAAGATAAAA